GCTGGCCCTAAACCATCATTAACTCACTTTTGAAAGCCTCCCACTTAACAGTGTCTCTTTGCCTGCAAACAGCCTCCCCCAGTCAACTTTTGAAAGTTCCTGTGTAAGACCATCAAAGTTGGCCTTGCCCCAATTCAGAACTCTAACTTGTGGATCAGACCTATCCTTTTCCATAGCTACTTTAAAACTGATGGAATTATGGTCACTGGCCCCAAAGTGCTCCCCCACTAACACATGCGTCACTTGCCCTGCCTTATTTCCCAAGAAGCGATCAAGTTTTGCCCCTTCTCTAGTAGGGCCATCTACAAAATGAATGAAAAATTCTTCCTGAGCACACTTAAAAAAGTTTCTCTCCATTCAAGCTGTTAACGCATTGGCAGTCCCAGTTGATGATAGGAAATTTAAAATCCCCCATTATGACACCCCTATTATTCTTGCAACTATTTGCGATCTCTTACATAGTTGCTCCTCAATCTCCTGCTGACTATTGGAGGGCCTAAAGTACAATGCTATCAAAGTGATGTCTTCTGCCCATATAGATTCAGTCGACAAACCCTCAAGAATGTCTTCTGTCAGTGGTACCATGATGTTCTCCCTAATCAGAAATGCAACTTCCCCTCCTCTCTTCCTTGCCTTCTGTCCTTCCTATAGCATCTGTACCCTGGAACATTGAGCTGCCATTCCTGTCCCTTCCTCAGCCATGTTTCTGTAATAGAAATAATATCCTAGACCCATGTACCCATCCATGCCCTGAGTTCATCTGCCATACCTCTCGGGTCTCTTGCATTAAAATAAATGCAGTTTAACCCACACTTCCCTTGCTTCCAGCTATGCTGTTGCCTGCCTTGTCTAGTACTAGGATTACTAACACTGCCTTTACTGTTTAAAGTGCTTTCATTAATTTCTGTACTGTCCTCAACTTTCTGTTTTGTCTCCCTAATGTTTTGGATCCCACCCCACTATCAAACTAGTTCAAACCCTCCTGAGTGACTCTATCAAATCTCCCCGCCAGAATATAGGTCCTCCTGCAGTTCAGGTGCAATCTGTCCCTCTTGTATAGGTCACCTCTACCCTAGAAGAGATTCCAAGAATCTGAATCCCTGCACTAGCTCTCAAGCCACCCATTCATCTGTCAAAATTACAATACGAAGGTGGGTCGAGTTGTGGATAGTGCGGAGAGCTGTTCTTGGTTACAGAGGGACATTGATAGGATGCAGAGCTGGGCTGAGAAGTGGCAGATGGAGCTTAACCCTGAAAAGTGTGAGGTGATTCATTTTGGAAGGACAAACTTGAAAGCAGAATACAGAGTTATCAGAAAGATTCTTGGCAGTGTGGAGGAGCAGAGGGATCTTGGGGTTCATGTCCACAGTTCCCTGAAAGCTGCCACCCAAATGGATAGAGTTGTTAAGAAGGCGTATGGTGTATTAGCTTTCATTAATAGTGGGATTGAGTTCAAGAGCCGTGAAGTTATGCTCCAGCTATACAAAAGACTGGTTCGGCCACATCTGGAGTATTGTGTCCAGTTCTGGTCGTTTCATTACAGGAAAGATGTGGAAGCGTTGGAAAAGTTGCAGAGGAGATTTACCAGGATGTTGCCTGGAATGGAGGGAAGGTCTTAGGAGGAAAGGTTGAGAGAGCTAGGGCTTTTCTCTTTAGAACAACGAAGGATGAGAGGTGACTTGATAGAGGTATACAAAATGATCAGAGGTATAGATAGAGTGGACAGCCAGAGACTTTTTCCTAGGGTGGAGGTAGCTATTACGAGGGGGCATAGTTTTAAAGTGAGTGGAGGTAGAGAAAGGGGAGACATCAGAGGTAGGTTCTTTACTCAGAGAGTGGTAGGGGCATGGAATGCATTGCCAGAGAGGGTAGTGGAGTCGGCCTCATTAGAGGCATTTAAGCGGCTATTAGATAGGCATATGGATGATAGTGTAAGGTAGGGGAGGAGGTTAGATAGACCTTAGGTTTAGGGTAAAAGTTCAGCACAACATCATGGGCCAAAGGGCCTGTACTGTGCTGTACTGTTCTATGTTCTAAATTCTCCCATTCCTACTCTTCCCTAACATGTGGCACCGGAAGTAGTCCAGAAATATCTACCCTTGAGGTCGCGCATTTTAACCTTCTGCCTAACACCCTATAATCACTCTTCAGGACCTCATCCCTTTTCCTATCAATGTCATTGGAACCATTATGTACAACGACCTCTGACCTTCCCCCTTAAGAATTTCATCCAAATGCTCAGAGAAGTCCTCGCCCCTGGAACCAGGGAGGCAACGCACCATCCTGGAGTCTCAATTGCGGCAACAGAAATGCCTGTCTGTGCCCGACTAGCAAGTCGCCTACTATTAATGTTCACTTGGACTTTGCCTGACCCTGGTCTACAACAGAGCTGGTCATGTTGCCACAGGCCTGGCTGTTGCTGTTGTACTCCCCTGAGAGGCTATCCCAACAGTATCCAGAAAGGTATACCTGTTACAGAGAGAAATAGTCATAGGAGAATCCTCCACTCCTTGCTTGCCTCTCCTGGTGGTCGCCCATCTACCTGACTGAACCTGTGGTGTGACTGCAACACTGTCGTGTCTATCACACTCTCTGCCCCCTCTATGCTCCTCACTGTCTTCAACTGCCTCTCCAACCGAAGCACATGACTTGTGAGGAGCTACAGGTAGTCACATTCCTGCAGGCATAGTTGTCAGGGACACTAGACAGCTCCCTGATCTCCCACATCTGGCAGGGGGAACATACCACTGCCCTAACTGCCATCTCTGACCCTCCACAGTAAGACAAAGAACAGAATCTTACACTTACCTCATTGAATAGAATAGAATAGAGTAGAATATCCTTTATTGTCACTTGTACTCCAGTATAGAAGTACAGGAGTACAGTGAAAAGTTTTTACAATGGCTGCCTTTTAATGGCGCCATCTTAGATACAAGTACCTGGGTACAAATTTAGAGTTAAAAAAAATAGTGTGTTATACAAAAGAGGATTAAAAGGAAGTTGTAAGCATTACTTACAGTGTCTGAGAATGAGTTAGGAATGAGGTAGTTATTACATCTGTGAAAAGGATTTGCAATACAGTCCGGTAAAGAATTCCAAACTACAGCAGCTCAGCACGTCGCACCAGGCCCAAGTCCAACAATTGTCCTGCATCGCTCCAGCCTCCAAACCACTGCTCACCGGCACTCAGCAGCAACAAGGTAAGTTGCATTGTACTGAGATTTGCTTCACCTCATGTTGCTCTGAGACTTGGGATTCCCCACATACCGCTGCAGGACTCAGGATTCCCCATGTGCCACACTGGGACTTGGGATTCCCTGCTGCCGTTGCTCTGGGACTTGGGATTCCCCTGCTGCTGTCGCTCCGGGATTTTGGCCTGCCCATCGTTCCAATCGTGGCCTCGGCCCCTCCGTTGCTCCTGTACCCGGCCCATCTGTCGCTCTGGGACTCGGCCCTGCCCATGCTCACTTTGCTGCTGTCACTCCAGGACTCAGCCCGTCCGTCACTCCGGGACTCGGCCCGGCCCTTGCTCGATCTGCTGCCATCGTTCCAGGATTCAGTCCGCAACTCAGCCTCTGCTCTCTCTGCTGCTGCTGCGGGACATGGTCTGCACGCTGAGCTCCTGCCCAGCCTCCGGTCGCAACTCATCTCCCTCGGCTCATTTCTCCAGGTGGGGGTAGTTAAAGGTTGGGGGTTTGGAGGAAGGAAAAAATATTGCAAAGAGGAGAAAAAATAAGGGAAGAGGAACTGGTGAGCAGAAGACCTCCGACTAAAGTGCCTTACCCTTCCGCCATCTCATCTTTTTTTTGTCTGCTGATCTGCTTCCTATCCAAAGCCTAGTGTTCACCAAAGCCCATACTTAAACCTCCAGCAGCACTTCCAATGCAAAGCAGCCCTTCTCAAAAACGTCCACTCCAAGAACAGAGCAGACTGGATGACCACTTTGCATACACCTATATTCTGTCCACAGAAATGACCGTGAGCTTCCAGTTGCCTGCCTCTTCAACACACCACTGTGTTCCCTGGCCAACATCTCTGTGTTGGGCCTGCGGCAGTGTCCCAGTGAGTCTCAGTGCAAGCTTGAAGAATAACATCTCATTTTCTGCTTGTGGACCCTGCAGCCTCTAGGACTCAACATGGAGTTCAATAACTTCAGAGTTCAATTCCATCCTTCCATTTTTGTTTTTCCTTCCCCATACCTGGTCCTGTTACGACACAGGTTACTTTTAGCAGTCACCCATTCAGCACATATTCCTAGGCTTGTTATCACATTATATGGGTTGCTTTCAGTACACTTTGTTTATTTTCTCAAACTCTTAGGACTTATTATCATTTATTCACCTTTTCTTCTGTCCTGGCCTGCTATCCATAATTTCCTTGTCTACCTACTCCTTTCATACCTCACTCTGGCCTCCATCTCCACCTACCTACTGTCCTCCTCCACCCCTCCCCCAACTTCAGCTTCAGCTTTATTACCACTTTTTCTAGTTACTCACAGTTCTGATGATGTCACCAGACTCGAAACGTTAACTTTGTTTTCTTCCCACAGATGTTGACAGACCTGCTAAGTTTCTCCAGCAATTTCTAACTTTATTTTGCATGCGTGACTATTTTGTTTCTACTCAATTTACTGTATCTTTAGTTGATGGCTTATTTGTGTGAGCCTTTCCCCATTAACTCTTGGATTTCCAAGGGTTGTGATTATCACAAAACATTAGTTCTCCTGTGTACTATTGCAACTTCCTTCTGGTAAAATTTTCTAAATAGACTTTTAGAATTTCTTTGCTTTTTTCATTACATTATCAAATAAATACTTCTTTTGGCTCATTGTGTCTCATTTTATATGCAACGGATGAATACATGAATAAACTGATATCTCAGCTAACGTACTCTGCTGCTGACTTGACTTACTGATATGTGAGGAATATGAACTTCACAGTAAGATATATAATAAATGTTTCATAGTTTGATTTTCTGTGTTCTGGCTTGATTTTTCTTAGAGGTATGTGGAAACCTACTCACTAAAACTGATGGAATTTTCACCTCTCCAGACTATCCAGACATGTATCCTAGTTTTGCCAACTGCAAATGGATAATCAGGGCACCTTTGAAGTATAAGGTATGTGGTAATTGCATAAGAAACAAAACAAAAATAAAACTCTAAGCTGTTCACTTAATTGAGAAATTCGCACAAAGAGTGATTTTCTTTCTATTCCATCTTGCATAAAGGTTCAACTGGATAGTGCATAGGGAAAAGCCAGTTTCATTACTTATTTCACACTAAATTGCTATTGCCATCTGTCTAACCATCCTACTAGTTACCATGTGTTTCACATCCGCAGTGTGTATATTTCTCTGTTCAGTGCAATCAGCAAAACTTGGTTTTGTACCATTAGGAGGGGACATACAGTCATACAGAATGGAAGCAGACCCTTCGGTCCAACTTGTCCATGCTGACCTTATTCCCAAACCAAACTTGTCCCACTTGCCTGCATTTGACCCATGTCCTTCCAAACCTTTCCTATTCACGTACTTATTCAAATGTCTTTTAAATGTTGTAACTGTCTCTGCATTTGCTATTTACTCTGATAGTTTATTCCGCATACGAACCATTCTCCATGTAACAAAATAGTTGCACCTGATGTCCTTTATAATCTTCCTCCTTGCACCTTAAAAATATGCCCCCTAGTTTTGAACTCCCTCGCCCTAGAGAAAAAGACCTTTGCTATTCACCTTATCTATGCCCCTCATGCTTTTATAAACTTCTATAAGGTCACCCTTCAACTTGCTACACTCCAGTGAAAGAGTCCCAGTCTTTATGTCATTTATAAAATGATCTGGATGTGAACATAGAAGGTATGGTTAACACGTTTGTAGATGACTCTAAAATTAGAGGTGTACTGGACAGCAAAGAAGGTTACCTCAGAGTACAATGGGATCTTGATCAGACGGGCCAAGGAGTGGCAGGTAGAGTTTAATTTAGAATAATGTGAGGTGTTGCATTTTGGGAAGGCAAATTAGGGTAGGACTTATACACTTAATGGTAAGGTCCTGGGAAGTGTTGCTGAACAAAAAGACCTTAGTGTGCAGGTTCATAGTTCATTGAAAGTGGAGTCACAGGTAGATAGGATGGTGAAGAAGGCATTTGGTATGTTTGCCTTTATTGGTCAGTGCATTGAATATAGGAGTTGGGAAGTCATGTTGCGGTTGTACAGGACTTTGGTTTGGCCACTTTTGGAGTATTGCGTGCAATTCTGGTCTCTCTCCTATAGGAATGATGCTGTGAAACTAGAAAGAGTTCAGAAAAGATTTATGTGGATGTTGCCAGGGTTTGAGCTATAGCGAGAGGCTGAATAGGCTGGGACTATTTTCCCTGGAGTGTCAGAGGCTGAGGGGTGGCCTTATAGAGGTTTATAAAATCATGATGTGCAGAGATAGGATGAATAGGCAAAGTCATTTCCCTAAGGTGGGGGGGTCCAAAACTAGACGGCATAGGTTTAAGTTGAGAGGGGAAGGATATAAAAAGATCTAAGGGGTAACTTTTTCACGCAAAGGGTGGTGCGTATATGGAATGAGCTGCCAGAGGAAGTGGTGGAGGCTAGTATGATTCCAACATTTATAAAGCATCTGGATGGCTATATGAATAGGAAGGGTTTAGAGGGTTATGGCCAAATGCTGGCAAATGGGACTAGATTTATCTGGGATATCTGGCTGCCACAGACGAGTTAGACCAAAGGGTCTGTTTCCATGCTGTATATCTCTATGACTCTATCCAAGTCATCACCTATTGCTCTTGTCACTAGACCTTGACTCCAGACACCCAGGTAATATTCTGGGAAACACAGGTTCAAATCCTGACATGATGGAATTTGAATTTAATTTTTTTAAAAATCTAATGACTTTAAAACTGTTATTGATATGAGAAAAATCCCATCTGATTCACAAATGTCCTTTAGGGAATGAAACTGCCATCCTTACCTGGTCTGTCCTACATGCAGCTCCAGACCCACAGCTACTCTCTTGGCATTTGGAAAGGGCAGTAATTGCTGGCTCATCCAGTGATGCCCACATTCCATGAATGAATTAAAAATTATTTATTTAGTATAGATTATTATTCAGTAATATAAATTAGACACAGACTGGTAAAAAGTACAAAATACAGGATCAGTTTTAATGTGCAGCCTATTCCAGTTCTAGACCACAATACAATGTTTCATAATCCTTAATGTGCTATAGTTTAAAAAAAATTGCTGCACTACTGGTCTAGCTCTGTTGAGAGTAGGTGGAATCATAAGCCCGGATTTTCTGATGGCTGCCTTTCATCTCTGCAGTGTAGTTGGGAGTAACGCATTGGACCGTGCGGGATCCCCAGTGTAGCACATTCTGAGGGAATTGCCTGAGAAGTTGAAAATTCTAATGGGCAACTCGCTTATGCCTGAAATCTTCTCAAAATTTCCATTTAGATCAAAGAATTCAATAATTAAATAAATCATTACTTAGGAAATGTAGTGTTGAAAACCTAGTCTAACTGCTGAGTAACTACTAAAACCGCCCAAAGTACTACCTATGCCCCCAAACTCTTTAGCTGCCCAACCCTGAGCACACCACCCACACTGCCCTAAAACCCAAGCAGTCGACATTCACGCGCTCCCCTCACCAGATTTAACAGTCCCCTACTCTTCCCTTAGGATTCAAAACCCACCAACCACTGGACCATAACTGTAGCAAAATGGTAGTACAGAGAACAAATCAGGAGATAATGAGGACATGTTAAAAAAGGCAGTACATTAATAATGAGTGACAAGAGGAATTCATAAAGTGTATTCCAGACAGTTTTGTGGAACAATATTGTGGATCTAACCAGGGATCAGGCTATTTTGGATCTCGTGATGTCTAATGAGGCAGGCTTGATAAATGGGGAACAGTGACCATAACATAGTAGGATTTATCATTCATGTGGTGAGAGAAAATTGGTTCAGAAACTGTGTTCAGTGTGCTAAACTTAAATAACGATCATTTAAAGGAGTGAGAGCAGAGCTGGTTGGAGTAGGCTGGGAAAGGAGTTTAGCAGCAAAGACTGTTGAGCAATTGCAGATGTTTAAGAAAGCATGGCTAATAGCTAAAATATATCGTAGTGAGAAAGAAGGAATCTAGGAATGGAATAAACCTCCCATGGTTAACTAATGAAGTTCAGAATAGCATCAAATTGAAAGAAAAAAAGACATACAATCTGGCAAAGATTAGTGGTAAACCAGAGGATTGGGAAAGTTTTAAAAACCAACAAAAGATGACCAGGAAAAAAAAGATAAATTTTCAGGGTAAACTTGCAAGTAATATCAAACTGACAATAAGAGCTTCTATAAATATGTAAAATAGAAGAAAGAGATCCAAGTCGAAAAGGCTGGGGAAATAATAATTGCAAGTAGGAAATGGCAGAGGAGTTGAAATAACTACTTTGTATCAGTCTTCACAGCGGAAGACACTCATAGCATTCCTGAAACACTAAATAATCAAGGATCAGAAGGAGGAGAGGAAATAAATACAGTAAGTTTACTAGAGAAAAAGTGCTAGGGAAACTAATGGAGCTAAAGACCAATCAATCCCTGGACCTGAAGGGATGCATCCTAAGATAATAAAAGTAGTAGCTCCTGGTAGTATTCTTCCAGGAATTCTTAGATTCTGGAAAAATACAAAGGATTGGGAAACTACCAATATAATACCTTTACTTAAAAAGGAAAGGAAACAAAAACAAGTAATATGGGCTGTTTAGCTTAATATCAATTATTAGCAAAATGTCAGAGTCTCTTCTAAAGGATGTAATAGCGTAACATTTAGAAATACATAATATGATCAAGCAGAGTCCACATGGCTTCGCGAAGGGGATATCATGCCGGATGAATTCATTAGAATTGTTTGAGGAAGTAGTAAGCTGATAGATAAAGGGGAAGCAGTGGATATATTTGTTTTTTCTGAAAGTGTTTGATAAGGTTCCACACATTAGGCTACCTAATAAGATAAAAGCCCCCAGTGTTGGGCATAGTAACATTCACATGATTAAGGGATTAGCTAACAAATTGAAGACAGACAGTTGAGGTAAGGACTGTATTTTCAGAATGACAAATTGCCGCTAGTGGAGTGCCGCAGGAAACAGTGTTGGACCACAATCATTTGCAATATTTGATTTGATTATTGTCACGTACCACGATACAGTGAAAAATATTGTTTTGTGTGCTAACCTGATAAATCATACAAAAAACCGAAAGAACTGTGGATCTGAAAATAATACAGAAATTGCTGGATAATCTCAGTAGGATCTATGGAAATAAATCAGAGTTAACGTTTTGAGTCCAGTGACCACCTGCTCCAGAGGTGTATAGTAACATTTCTGAACAGGTTGATTAGAAAAATAGGTTAGATTAAAAAACAAAAAAAAAATGACAATTGCTTAATTGTGTAGAGCTGGTCCTTCCCGGTAGAACAAAACAAAAACAGACCCAATGCATTCAAATTCCATCTGCTGCAAAGGTGGGTGATAACATCCCTGAGTAGTTGATTAGAAAAATAGGGTAAATTTTATACAAAATGCCCTCATATGGCACAGTGGCTTGGGTTCAAGTCTTCCTTCTCCAGAAGTGCAAAATAACATCCCTGAACAGTTGATTACAAAAATAGGATAAAGCAGACCCAGTCATACCTGCTGATTGTCTGCCCCTCTTCCATTGTTACATTCATTCCTAGGTGCCCTTGGAGAGGGAGCATGTGATTTCTACCAATCCTCTCAACACCATTAAGAGAGCAGTGGGCACCACAGGAGATACAGTGCCTTATTTCCTCCTCCACCTCAATTTTGATTTATCCCCTCACATTTGAACATTTGTATTGCCCATCATAGGCTTTCCTTGTAAATATTCAGTTGACTGCATGGGTGGTGACTGGTGGTAGTTTAAAAAAAAAAATCACGGTGAATTTGCTGGTTAGAAAATCACTTAGTCGTGTGTTGTAGCACTACTAGGTATAGAGGAAATAATATAAGGTGGACACAGGAGGGCTTTTGTGGCACAGTGATTGTGTATCTACCTCTGAGTCTGGAGACCTGGGTTCAAGTCCTACTTGCTCCAG